TTATGTTTTATATTATATATATTATGTTGTATAAAAGAGTTCATCATATGGTTATTTATATAATTAAAAAATATTAACAGTAAATTTTATAATATATATAGTAAAATAATATTAATATACTTATTTATAATAATATTTTTATTAAAGACGAGGCTATTTATATAATTAAGAAATATTAACAGTAAATTTTCTCATATATAGTAAAATAATATTAATATACTTATCTATAATAATATTTTATTAAAAATGAGGCTATTTATATAATTAAGAAATATAACAGTAAATTTTATAATATATATAGTACTTATTTATAATAATATTTTATTAAAAATGAAACATCTATAAATGTGGAGGACTATTTGATAAATAAAAAAGTTCAACTCCATTTTGGAGTAATGAGTTGGTTTACTCCATATTTGGAGTAATCATGTTTGTTACTCCATTTTGGAGTGAGTTTTAGAGTAGGGTTGGAGATGATTTTACTGCAAAATGGAGTTTGGAGTGGGTTTTGGAGTGGGGTTGGAGATGGGTTTTGGAGTGGGGTTGGAGATGCTCTTAGTAAAAGGACAACCCAAGAACTCAGCCAGTCTCTTGATTTGATCACGAGGCTCTGCTTTCATCTCCTCATACCTCATGAAAAGCACATGCTTGGGATCTTCCAAACTTCTTCTCCAATAACTCAAGACATGTTCCCAAATAGGTCCATAATAGATAGTTCCGTTGCAAAATGCTTCGAACATAGGCTCGAGAAGACTTCTGCATGGCGTCATTTTTTGAATTGCACTGGTAAAAAACCACCAGGAGATCAATGTGTCCTTCACGTTCCTGCACAGGCACACAATCTTGCAAGGAGAGACCTTGATGGTCTCATGCATTGTGTGCAGTGGCATGTGGGTTGAAAATAGCCTGGGAGGTGATAAGAACTTAACTAGGTTAGGACTTGAGCTTTCTTGATAAACTTGGAGCTCCAAGAATGGTACAATGCCATGAGGACTAACAGATAGTAGAGGATGATGATCAAAGGAATGGTTCTTTGATCTCTCCATGAGGGCGACGGTGAGGGCCTTGAGCCAAGTAGTGCCTGCTTTGGGGAAAGAAGAAATAATTATATCGGTGTCTTGCGGTTTAAAGCCTCTCTGGAAATTAAGTACGCCTTGGAGAGTGTTGTAGTAATACCAACATCCTTGATATTTAGAAAGCTTATTCGCTCGAAAATCTGTGTGTGAAGGAAGAGATGAGATCAAACTATTTGTTTCTTCGCTTATCTTGTCGTCTCCTACGTTTGATGGATGCTCCTCCAGGTCCATACCGTATAATCCCATAATACCCACTCCATCTTCCATGAGATGGTTCCATACAGTTTCAAGCATTGTTTCTTAACCATTGTCGGTTGAATAGGCATCTCTACAACCTCAGAGGCTTGAGCTTTCTCACCAACTACTTCAAATAACCCATTAAATTTGAGACTCTCAACCACCCTCAACGTCATGAAAACCCGTTTCCCATAAAGACAACTCAGTTTCAAACTATTGGAACAAAACCCACAAAGACACAACCTCTGAAGCTCAGTTTTTCTAACATTGAACAAATCTTTGACTTGTCTTTCGATGGTCTCAACTCTAGTAAGCCATACCTGGACTTGTGCAAGCCTTCTTAGAGCATGTTTATTGGTTTGTCTCTTAGCTTAGGTTTCTTAAATTTTTTTACTTTTACTTTTTTTTTGTTTTCTTTTGGCCAAATTAAAAAAAAAAAGAACTGAAAAGGATCAATTGTAGACCGCCACGTGTTATAGGACCCAAAAACAGATTAAGAGACAAAACAAACACGTTCTTTCTTTTGCATACACAAGGCACGTATTTTGTGCTTTCTGTAGGGTCCATAAATTTTTAATTGTTTTTTGGGTTATGGAACTAAGGGTAAGATACCCCTATAAACATGCTCTTAGAGCATCCGCAATAAGGAATCCTTAGGGAAAAAGAAAAATGGACATTTTGGATTATATAAAGATATTTCAAATTTTTTATTTAAAAAAAAAATTGACCATTCACGGGCCGCCACATGGGCAATGGAACCCGCGAATAGTGTAAGGATCAATCCTTAATTAAAGATTTTAAGAATAGAATCCTTAACTGTTCATAAGACCTACTTACTATAAAATTAATATATCTCTAAAGATTCCCTCTAAGGACCCTTTGTTGCGGGTGCTCTTAGATTTTTATTCTCCTCTCTTTCCACCCTTCTTAACAAATCATCTCGCCTCGCCTTTAGATCTTCCATGGTTGTCTCCAAAGCTGAAAGATTCTGTTCTAGGTTATGAATATAGCTCTGTTTGACACATAGACACTGAGCGACTTGATTCACGGCTTGATCACATGACAACAACGAGACAGAGAAGCAACCCCCCCATCGTTGCAGAGACGTATGGAACGATATTACACAAAGGGGGACAAATCGTAAAGTGTGATTATTATTAAACGAGAGGAAAAGATAAGAGTGACAATAATTGAAGTCAAGGTTTTTCGTGAGAAAAAATCTACAGCTTTAGAGAATACAAGTCATTGTCAATTATTAGGAAAGAAAGAGAGCAAAAAACATTAAATTCCTCTTACAAGCGAGAAGCTTCACTTTTTATTGTTAAATCTACCCAAAGATGTCACTTTATGCATATAATAGAATACATTATGACTATAATTGGTGTTTCTTCTTATTTTTTTTCATTTGTCCAAAAGAATATCTTACAACTTCATGGCTTCTTATAACTTCTGGCATATATCGTATGTGTATGCACGTGGAGAGAGATCTTGATAAACTTTCTTACGATTCAAAATCAAATAGATGCTAACAAGTTGCACTAGCTCGTATTACAACTAATCACCGATTCAGTGTTCTCAGATATTCCAGATGCCATATTTGTTATAAGACCCAAGCCGCTTCAAACTATAGAAACTGTCCCATGAAACGAAAAACATCAGCTTGTGAAGCTAGTCATAAAACAGATTGAACGTGCTGCACGTGTGCCGAAGCTAACCTGAAGTTGGGGAAGCATCATCCCACGTAAGGAACTCCACAAGCGTGGAACCAAACCAGCAGAAAAGATGATGACACTAGTCTCCAAGGGAGTGTTGTGAATGTCAATAATATATGCACCGAATGTTGACAAAACCATGTGAAAGAAAATTATGTGGAACTCACTGTTACTATGCACAAACAGTAATTTTTTTTCACCTTTATATAAATGAACTTTTGTGTTTAATGTAAATACACAACTTCTCTTCTTATCATATAATAAACTACTAGGTGTTTTACCCGCACATACGGACATAATTTTGTTACAATTTATTATTAGTCTATATTTTATTACTTCAAACCAATATAATAAGTTAGAATTTATGTTTTAAAATTAATTATAAATGACAACACTCACATAACAAAATATTTTTACAAATGTGTTGCTTTATTTTATTTTAATTATAATTTTTTTCTATCTTAACTTTTTATTTCTATAACAATAAATATATTTTCAAGATAACAATATAATACATAAGAAGTATCTTATTTTCTAAAAATTTAATTTTAATAGAAATTCAATTTTATTTTATAAGAAATTTTATATGAAA